GAAATTGTCCAACTGCACATAAATGTTTAAAGTCGCTCCGTTTATTTTCTGATTGTTTCTTAATCTCTGCTATGTCCCTTGTCCATTCCCCTTTACATTCCTAACTGGGTGGATTTGTGTTTCTATTATTTTTCTTGAGCAGTATTGCCAGAGATATTTTAAATATTTTTCCAAAGAAATAGCTTTCAACTTTATCTTCTCCATTGTATATACTTATTCTCTTTAATATGTATTGATTCTGTCTTATTTATGATTTCATTTTGACTGTTTTATTATATTAATTCAATGGCTGTAATTTTAAGACATTGAATTCATGCTTCCTACCTCATTAATTTTCTCATTCTGCTTTATAATACAAGCATATATGCCCATAATATTCTCTCGAAATACCATTCCAGATCCAGCCAACAATTTTGGAATGTAGCATTTCTCACTTTCATTCTGTCCTAAATTTTAAAATGTTTATTATTATTTCTTTGAAATGTATTTTTAAATGTCAGCAGAATGTGTTATTTTATGTTTTTGATAATGATTTCTAGATTTATAACTAAGTTGTCAATGGTCGAAAAGCATGGTCCACGTAATACTGAATCTTTGAAATTTGTTTTGGAATTTAACATGTTATCAATTCTGTAAAATTTTCAGTGTATATTTTTAAAATGAATATTTTCAATTGTTTAATAAAGACATCCATATATGTCACTTGAACAAACCTTTTGATTTTATGGCTCACATCTTCTTTATCCTTTTTTATTCCCATAAGTTATTGAGGTACAGGTGGTATTTGGTTACATGAGTAAGTCCTTTAGTGGTGATCTATGAGATTTTGGTGCACCCATCACCCGAGCAGTATCCACTGCACCGTATTTGTACTCTTCTATCCTTCACCCCCTTCCACTTTCCCTCCAAGTCCTCCAAGTCCATTGCATCATTCTTATGCCTTTGTGTCCTCATAGCCTAGTTCCCACATTATCAGTGAGAACATACGATGTTTGGCTTTCCATTCCTGAGTTACATCATTTACAATAACAGTCTCCAATCTCAGGTTCTTTATTCTTAATGATGGTTTTGCATGCTTGAGAAATTTACATGTATAAATTTCTCCATGTAATTAAGTTTTGTTTTATAAATGTTGAGACTGTTTTATTAGATGCATACAAGTTTAGAACGACAATATTTTACTAACGTTAACTAACTTTATTCATTTTCTAGCAACCTTCTTTATATCTACCAAGCTTTTGACCATGTCTATTTTGTCTAGTGTGTGTGTGTGTGTGTGTGTGTGTGTTTTTCTTGGTGGTTAGTCTAGCTAAGATATGTCATGGAAACAAATATACCAAAATGTTTAGTGACTTAATATATGTTTCATTCACACAAGGCCCGATGTATATGTTATAGATGTCCTAGGAGACTCACTTCTGAGTAGAATCCAAGATCCTTCCTTCTTGAGGCTCTACAATATCAGAATCTCTATTAAGCTTTAAATAAGAAAGGGAAAGGTTAAGCCAAGGATCTTGCAAGGAATTTTACTCGTCAAACTTGAGTTTCATTAGGTTTGCTGAGCATCTGGTGAGGCTTAACCCAGTAAAAATATATATATACATGTAAACATATATGTATATACACACATACATACATATATATGTGTATATTTATATATAATGGTATATGAATATATTATATATGCCATATGTATCACCTAATATATATATATATGTATCATCACATATGTATAATCATCTTCTGCTATATAGAGCACATTCACAAGAGTCCTGAGATGTGTATAGTGTCACAAAAAAAGAAAGTGAGCCAAAATCACGTGGAAGATTTCAAGGGGCAGACTTGGAAATGGTCTTTCATCCACATGTCATTAGACATAACACATGTGGCCCCAATATAAAATCAAAACCAGATTAGGAAAAGCAGATATCCTCTGTGCTTAGGAAGTGGAAACAAAATTAGAGAGCATTTAGTCAGTCACAACACCCAGTTCTCATTGTTTATATTTGCCTAGTATAAATTTTTCTATTTTTTTACTCTAATTCTTTCTGAATCTTTATATTTTAGGCATTTCTGTTGTAAATATTTTATAATTTAATTCTTTTTTAAAAATCTGATCTGACAATCTCTGTCACTGCAATAGGGAGTTTATTCCATTTACATTTAATGTGATTATTTATAATTGTTTTTCTATGTTTCTGAGATTTTCCACCTGTATTCTTTTTTTTTGAGCCCTTTTAAAGATTGTTGAGTCTTCATCTTTTTCCTACTGCTCTGGTGACTTAGAAGCTGTACATTGTTTCTTTGCTTGTTAGTAATATCTCTATATCCTCACTGAAATTATTTCTTAAAAATTTATAATTAAAAAATCTGTGTTAAACTTACTATACTCCAGTGTATTCATTTCTCTTACTTTAAAATTCACAAATTTGTGATTATTACTATTATCTCTATTTCACCTAAATCAATGCTTGCCTGGATTCACAGACACATTTATCAGGTTTTTTTCTTTCTCTCTTTCTTTCTCTCTCAAATTTCTCTTGTATCTTAAACATCTGTTATCAACTTTCTTCTTCCTGAATTATATTTTTAGAGTTTTTACAATAACCTATTAATTTTGTACACTTAATTTTATTTGTTCAAAAATGCCTTCTGTTTCTCTTTATTGAATTGTAGTTTACTTCACATAGAGTATATAATGATAAAAGTGTATAAATGATAAATGAACAAAATTATGCTTAATACAGAAAAGCCTAGGTAGGTTTTGAAGTGTTACCTTTTTTAAATAAATATGTTAAAATGTAATTTATTTTAGTGCCCAAGTAATTAAAGTAATTGAGTTACTGTTGAGTTTTCCTGCGGTAAATGTATTCTTTCTTGTGCGGTAGAGTGAAGGGATTTTTGTTGTTGATGTTCTGAAAGCTATTTTAAAAAATTTATCAAGATTCAAATAAAAGCTCAACCAAAATCAGTATTGCTTATTTTGTGATTAAATTCATAATAAATTTATACTGTTAATTTTTCTTTGCCTGTCTCTCAGACATAAAATTCACATGCAGTGCAAAAATAAATAGTACTATGCTATATAATAAACCTCACAACTTTCAAAAATATTGTCTAGAAATAAGAGCTTGAATGTTCTTTTAAAATGTATCTCTGAGTATTTTGCTATTTTTACACATTAGATTTTCTAAGTCTATATACATTGTAATAGAGTGTGTACTTTTTTTCTTGATCTCCCCAAAACTGTATTTTCATGTATAGATCTTTCTTATTTAAGAAACTTAACCAACAGTGTAGAAGACAATCTGACAAAGCCAACTTGTCAGTGTCAGGAGAATTATCCCTCTTCAGAGATGATCAAAGATGCCTAGCCTTGAAGAAAAAAAATAAGTAAAAATTATGCTAAGCTCATACCATTTACATTTCTTATCAAATTACTTTTGCTCTATTCAGAAACATTACTTTTCAAGCAATCTATCTTTGAGATAAATGCTAAGCCAAGAAGATTTATTATTTCAATGCAAACTTCAGTTTTAAAGAATATAAATTGACTTTGAGCAGACCAAGGACCTATTAAAGTCAGAGAGGTGTCTGCAAGTTGAGCTCTAAGAATGTGAAAAATGCATGGATTAAGAAAATTAGGGAAATCCAACACCGAAGAGAATGGGAATGATTTTATCTAGATGATTTTTTTTCCTGCTAGCCATTTCAGAAGGAAACTACATTTAACAGTTTACAACTTTAGCTTATATAATATAAATTAATATGACCTATATACCAACAAATGTTGACAGCATCAGATAATCATAAATATGACTCAGAAGAATAAACTTTCTATTAAATATTCTCTGTTTTGGGTGTCTAAAATACATGACATACATTTACTGAAAAATATCTGTAAATTAAGGAAATGAACTACTTCTTTTTAAAGGTAAAAGATTATCTAATATTAACTTATATGCAATCCCTCTCTTGATGTCCCATGACAAATGAAACATGACTCTATAAGCTTTTTGATTCTTCTCAATTTGTATTTGACTAATGAACAAATTTTAATTTCCAAAATGAACACATTTTTAATTTCTACCTTCATGATAGCTCGATATACTTAAGAAAACAAAACAAAGTAAAAGTCTGAAGGTTAAGCCAGACACAGAAAAGCACACATTATATGATTTTATTTATAGAAAATATGAGATGAGTACAAACGAATCTATGCTGTTAGAATTTGGGTGCTATTATAGCTATGCTTTGGACAGGGGGAGGGAGGGTGACTGGAAAGGAGCATGAGGTGTGCTAGTAATGTCATGTTTCTAGGTCTGGATGTTGAATCTTGAGTTTGTTTGGTTTGCAAGAATTTATAGAGCTATGTATTTCTATATATGCATATTATGCTTCAATTAAAAAAGTTTTTAAAAACCTGAAAGTCAGTATTAGAGCTATATAACAGCCTTTACACACACAGATGTTAAATTACACGTACAGTGCTAAGTTAGCTTAGACCTCAAAGCTGTCTGAAACGGGAGCCATGATAGTATTTGTGAAAGTCGAGGCATATCTCTAAAATGTCTTTTAATTTTGACTTTGCTGGATTAACATAGCAATATTAAATACTATTTTAATAAGTCATGGAATATAAAAACAGAGATAAATAAAATGTCATTAAATCTCAATGCAAGTAACCTGAGAAAAGTTGGCTTTGTTCAGAATTCTACTATTTGAATTTGAGAGTAAACAAGGCTCTTTCTCTGTAGTTATAAAATAGCATTTTAATGAATGATTAGTAAAGCTGTTCAAGATCACACAAAAAGAAAAACCTCAATTGATGTTAGATTTCTAGGTCAAATGAAACCATAGAATCCTTTCCTCATTCATTGTCCTAATCTGTTGGGTTTCTGCACAAAATCAGCACATTATCAGGTACAGTTATCTCACACTGCATTCCCTACTATCAGAAGGCCTGTTGCTAAGAGATGCCTTGTTTCTTTGCCTCTTAGAGGGAAAAGAAGAATATTGCTGCTCAGCGGATTAGGGGATCCAGTGCAGAGAGCCTTGTTACTGCTGAGAGCCCTCCACCATCCATGTCCTCAGTTATGAAGAATAACCCACTCTATGGTGACCTAAGTTTGGAGGAAGCTATGGAAGAAAGAAAAAAGAACCCATCATGGACCATTGAGGAATATGAGAAACGTTCCCGGCACACAAACCTCTCTGGACATCTGAAGGTACTCACGACTAAGAGTCAACCTCTTCAACTGATAAGGGAGATCAGTCAAATAATCCTAAAAGAAAGCATTATTGAAGTGACAGGTATTCTTCACTAGGCACAGAATCTCTAGATTTCAGAGCATTTGGGCTCCTGGCTTTTCTTTCTCCCTTCTAGTGAGTATTTATGTTTATTTGTTTTGAGTTTTACAGTTTCAACAGTTATTGGCAACTGTATAGTGTAGAGAAGAAAAAAACTATGTGGCACAGAACAAAGGTTTTCCAGAAGGGTAAAAGGTTTATTGAAAATTAATTTGCAAGATTACATTTTCTTTTAGTTTTTAAACATTTATGTTCGTGAACACTTAAGAGCTGATTCCCTAGTCTACATTTATTAAAAAATACTTATTAAGTGTTCTGTGTTAGGCACTGTGCAAGGAAGTTCTCATCAAAGATTATTTTATCTCAGCTCTCTCAGTGATTTAAGATTGAAGATTTACATTTTGGTCATTTTCCTGTGTCTCAGTAACAAAACAAAACAAAAACATTTCAACACAGGAAAAGTATGCAATGAACTCATTCACCCAGCTTAAATCCAACTTAAGTTTTTCTTTCTTTGCTTGCCCCCACTGGTGTCACCCCAACCCATGAAAAACTTCAAAATACCTGAAAAGCAAGGAAGCAGCCCTCTGTTTTCTGCATGGACTGGATTCCTACCCAGTCTTGGCTTGCCTCCACCTGCCCCGGGCCAGGAAGGCCTGCCATTTTCCAAGTACATACCCTTCATTCAAAAATGTTTATCTGTGCTAAGCCCCATACCTTAAGCACTCGAGAATTTTTTCTTTTTTTTTGAAGAGGACAGCACCCTGTCTCCTTGAATCCTACTCACACTTTTTACAATTTCAAATATGTGCTACTCAAAAGACCCACTGTCCAGAATCTTTGAAGTTTCTTAATCTCTTGGTAGATTGAATGTATCTCCTCTTTTATGTAGCCCGTTTTCCAGAGAAGTTTACATAACAGATGCTCTTCACAGAAACAATAAGCTTATGTTTCTTTTTCCTTCTTTCTTCTTTTTATAAATTGCATTCCTTACCAAGAGTCTTAAGGACATCTAAAAAGTCACCCCTACTATTAGAAAAAAAAAGTATTGATATATTTTACAAACATTTCTTGACTGTATGTTAGGGCCTCTTCCTTTTGCTGATTACATGCAAAATAAGGGAACTATGGAGGTGAATGTTCCTGTCCCTACCCTCAAAAAGTTGATCTAACTGAGCAAATTAACAGACAGTAACTATAGAACAAGATAAAGGAAACTAACAGTAATAGTAACAGAAAGTGCCATGCAGTGTTCTGACTCATAAGTGGGAGTTGAACAATAAGAACACATGGACACACAGAGGGGAACAACACACTCTGGGGCCTGTGAGGGGTGAGAGGCAAGGGGAAGGAGAACATCAGCACAAATACCTAATGCACGCGGGATTTAAAACCTAGATGACGGGTTCATAGGTGCAGCAAACCACCGTGGCACAAGTGTAACTATGTCATCTGCACATTCTGCACATGTATCCCGGAACTTAAAGTTAAAAAAAAAAAAATCTGTACCCCAAATTCTCATGATACACTTTACCTATAAAGAAAACTTGTACATGTAACCCTGAAGCTAAAATAAAAGTTCACAAAAAAAGAAAAGAAAATGCCTTTCCCTCACATTTGCCAATACTGGTTATTTTTCAAATAAATCATCAGTGATTGGAAAAAATGGTAACACATTGTTTGCTGATTTTCATTTTTCTGATCACCAGGCGAGGCTGAATATTCTAGTAAAAGTATAAAACTTGTTCACTATAAAAGCCCAAATTAGGATTAGTGTAATAGCACATAATTATCTCCTGTTAAATGTTGCCATAGGCTTACCTGTGATACTCTTCATTCTCCGTTCTAGGAAATTGCTGCTTTTCAGGTTTTCTTCTCTTTCTTGTGGAATTAGTCCATCATCACCATTGCCAGCAGCAGCACAATCAGTCAGGTTTTCTGATAATCCCATGTTATTACTTCCGTGCTTCTTTATTTCTTCTTCAACATTGAGTGGAAGTTTCATATTAAGAATGGTTATTACTTTATACAATAAAAAGAAGTTTTTGTTTCACTGAAAAAAAAATAAAGAAGAAAAATATAAAAGAAAAAGTGCCATGTAGGATAGGAAGGGGGCACAAATCACATTTTGATTATAAAAGGAATTCATGAAAAAGCAAACTTATTATGGGTTTGAAGGATGTATAGAATTCCAAAAGGTATAGATGGCTTGCCTAAGTGGGAAGGCTCTTTTTTCAGGAGTAGCAAGAGCAAAGGCAGAAATATAGGAGCTACAGGTTAAGTAACAGAATAATGGGAAAATAAAGCTAGAAAATAAAGCTAAAAAATGTTTGAATGTTATGCTTATGAAATTGAAGATTATTGGCAATAAAGAGTAATTTTTTAAGCTGGACAATTATATGAGTTATGTTTAGGAAGAATGAGCCATAAATACAATGAGTGCCATGTTTTACTACAATCAGGACCTGCTCCCTCCCCTACCCAGTCACAACAAAAGCCATAACTTTTCTTTTCATTAAAATTTTTTCTACCTCATTAATTCAACTTTCATCTTCACTCCTGTCTATATCTCATAGAACCCCTAACTTATTTTCTGAAACCTTGACACCACTTTTCGGCTATGAACCCAAGTCCCTGTGGTCACTCCCATTTTTCTACATTGGTAAGAGTTTATAAGCCAGAAAAGAGAAAAGAAATCCATATTTCATTACAAAGGAAAGCTAGAAGCAGAATGCAAGACAAAATAGTCTCTGAGTGAAGCTCTTCGTGGAGAACAGAGGCATTAAACTTACGAAGTGCAGGCCTCTGATTAGGACACAAAATGAAAGATAGGCATGAGGTAGACAAGGATTTTTACATCATTATCCTTCTTCACAGATCATCCATATTTTATTTTAACATTTTAGCGTTTCTAAAACTAAGAAGTTCAAACTAGTACTAGGGAGAACTGTTTTGCCATCATCAGAATCTATCCTCACTTTCTATTCATACACGCATGCACATTCCTCTCCCAGCAGTGCACCTGGAAGTCTGAAGCTAGTTCATTGACCCCTGACGCTGAGAAAGAAAACTTGCTGTGCCACATTTCAGCTGACTTTAAGTCTTCTGAGACTGGAGAGGGAAAGAGAGGGGGCAGTCCACTGTAAGCCATTACAACAAAGCAGGTGAAATATAATGAAGCATGAAGTAGGTTTGTGAAAGCAGAGGTTGAGTATTCACTGTAAATTTGTTGTATATAAGGCATAGACACCAAATCTACAGCACCAAAACATAGCAAGAGATGTAACAGGAAAAAAAGTATTTTTATTAATGTATGAACAATAGAGTTTGCACGTGATTTATCAGGTACAGGAGATCAGGTTGACTTGATAATTCTATGGGCCTGGAAGGGAAGATGAAGTCTGTGGAAGAAAGAGAGCCATGGGGAATAAATAAGAGCTGATGTGGGGAAGAATATAATGGGTCATTTTTTCAGGAGGTCAAACAAAGTTTCTGCATGCCAGACATGTGGCAGCCCTCTACAAGGAAAATCAGTGGGTCAAGAGTAATAGAAGAGACTCCTTCCTGACTTTTAGTCCTACTACTTCCACGGAAGTCAGCTTCTGGATTTACTGAAAACCCCACCAAGCATGTTTATTCCTGCCATGCAGACAAAATTAAACCTCAAAGGTTAATCTAAAGCAAAGAATTTTCATTTTATTTCAACGTACTGTGCTGAATTATATGCACTATTTATAGGATGTAAGGAACACTAAATTGGCTACAACATGATAGAAACACTGTTGTGTTTCTGACCCTCTAATGTGAGCAATTTAATTAAAGACTCACGAAGGCCTCCTAATTAATTCTGATCCAGACCTACAAATTGGAACTGCAGGGATTCCTTGTCAGCCAGGAGACTGTAGCTACATTTTTATGCTATTCAAGGAAGCCTCGTATCACTCATGTGAGCCATGACATTGAAGCCTTGCCCAGGACAGAGTGAATATGGAGCATCAGTCCCCATGACAGTGTCTTGTTCTGAAATCTCAATTAATTTGTAACACTGACTGATTACTGATTAATCATATTCTCCATGTAATTTTCTTTTAGGAAAATCCTAACGACCTGCGGTTTTGGTTGGGAGACATGTACACTCCAGGTTTTGATACTTTATTGAAAAAGGAAGAGAAACAAGAGAAGCATTCAAAATTTTGTCGTATGGGTCTGATTTTACTTGCCATCATCTCCATCTTGGTTGCCATAGTGACTATTATTACTTTTTTCACCTGAGGAAACTGCAGCAGTCAGAGCTACTTTAAATTTCCTAAATTTTTTTCTGATAAACATTTGAAACCCCCTCCCCCCAAAAATAACAAAAACAATGTACATGCAGTGTGAATGGATTGTTGGTTGTACTATTAAATGTAATTGTCCTGAAGAACGTGAATGTCGGATGTGGCATTCTGGCTTCTCCACTTTGTTCTATAAAAGGTAAGAGTTCCAGTCTGAGCTTTGTCCTTTGGGAAGCAGGAATTCTGAGGACCATAATCACAGAACAGTCACTATATGCAACCCACATTAAATATCTTCATAGGGAGCAAACAGTATGAAAAATTGTCAGCAGCTTTATTTTCATGCTTAAACTATATTAACCTTGTTTTAAAAATACTGTTAATTCTTTACCACCTCATCCTCCTGCAATCACCAGAAAAGTTTGAGTTGATAATTTTTTTTTAACCAACTGCTGGGTAGCTGGGATAAAAATCTTCTGGTTGTGCTGCCAACTGAGTTAGATTCATTCTCTGTTTTATTTTCCTGTATTTCTGTTTAAGTCAGAAAAAAAGGAAGGAGAGAAATATCTTATTCAAATCTATTCTTATTTCCCCAGTAATCATCTATGATGCCCCAGTTTCAGGCTGCAATTTTAATAGAATTAAACTTGGATAGGCCATAGTTACATAATTAATTACATTTAGATCCAATTTATCCAAATTGGCTATGACCCCTGGTGGCAGTTAGTGTGTATATATTGCCAACCATGGCCTAGTTGGGGGTCCCTAGGAAAGCAGAGGGAATACTGCTAAGAGAACAGAGTTTGAAGCCTAACTACTACTTGCTAACAGACTCTGGCAAGTTATTCTCTAAGAGAAGGAATGATATTACCTGCCCAACAGGGCTGGCCAAAGGACCAAATACAAAACAGGTATGAACAGTATCTGGCTTGAAATAAACAGTTGCTTAGTTAAAGGCTGTTGTTATTATTAATTTGTGCTAGCTAATTGACAACCTGAGTTTACCTTCCATTTTCTGCAGATACCTGGGGACATGGTTGTAGACACAGATGGGGAATCAAGTCATCACCCTGCCCTTCATTCTAGAATATCCTTTCCTAAACCCCTCATTCCCACTCCTTTCTCATCTATAAGCAACCCAGCCAAAGGCTGTCTTAAGCAAGAAATAAAAGAGGAACTTTCTCTTCTTACCATGAGCCTAAAGTCAGATTTTGTTCTTTGATATTGCCATATCATTTTGTTGTATTTGTCTTAAAGATGCTTGAAATAAAGTACAGTAAAAGACAGTTTGGGATGGGCGTAGTGACTCGCGCCTGTAATCCCAGCACTTTGGAAGGCCAAGGTGGGTAGATCATGAGGTCAGGAATTCGAGACCCGCCTGTCCAACATAGTGAAACCCCGTCTCTTTTGAAAATAAGAAATTAGCCAGGGTGTGGTGGTGGGCGCCTGTAGTCCCAGCTACTTGGGAGGCTGAGGCAGGAGAATCGCTTGAACCTGGGAGGCAGAGGTTTCAGGGAGCCGAGATTGTGCCTCTGCACTCCAGCCTGGGTGACAGAATGAGACTTCCATCTCAAAAAAAAAAAAAGACAGTTTTACTGAACAATAAAGTTGTTGTGTAGGAAAAAAAATGGTGTTAGCCATATTTGTAGTCCCTGATTTTTTATTCCTCTTCTCCTCCATGGAAGGTTCTAGTCCAATTTAAAATTGAATTACAGGAGAATTTTAAAACTGAATTACATGAAATAAAGTATCAGGGACTTTATCACTCTCACTGTGGACATAGATATTACCTGCTATTACTCTGCCTTCAAAGCTTACCTGCCCAAAGTTTACCTCTAAGGGATTCACAACATGTTCAGGTCTCTGCCACACATGGAAAGCATCTGTGCTGTATCAGGTTACATGTGGCTGCCTAGGATTAAGCATGGGTAAGGCTTTCTAAAGGTAATAAGCAGTAGTAACCATAAAAATGTAAAGGCTGCTTAACTGAATTCCGGTCTCCCTTGCCCCCAACTCATTACCTTTCTCTTCTGCCTAGTCAATTCTGGTCAAGCACCTAGTATTCTTCTATTCTCCCTATCCCTCTTCTATTCTTATTTATGATACTATCAGTCATTTCTGTTTCATCATAAATGAGTTTATTACTTTCCTACTGCTCCCAAATCACCTTCATTTTTAGCTTTCAATGTAACTGTAAAATCAAAATATATTATTGTCCTGCACTTAATTAATATTATGCATCTACATGTGAGGGCAACTTATAAATAAAGAGAATTTATCTCTGTTTACACTCAAAATAATACCTTAAAAGAAGTTCCAATTTCGCCTTCTACAGTACAGATTTTTGTGAAAATGGAACAGAAAGAGCATAAAGTCATAGAAAATGCAGAGGCGATGGCCCTAAACAGGCTTATGTTGAAATCGGCTTTCTTGAGAAGTTCTCATCCAGATTCAATGAACTAGTGTTTCTAAAATATTTAAATACAATCCTTCTCACATAACAGGTAGTCAATAAATAATAATAATTATTATCTTCAACACTGACTATTTTAGTAACTTTTTTTTAACTTAAATTGGTGTGAGAACACCTGGCTCCACCAGTTCTTAAGTTATAATAATTTAGTTTCAACAATAATCTTCCCCAGGTTTTTGTACACACCCTCCCCCCAAAGTTATCTTGTATATTTTTGCTTTGTTTTTGTATATTAGGTGAGTGTGTGGGAGGCCTAAAAGCAAATAGTATATTAAATTTTCTTTCAAAAAAATTCCAACTGTGCATACTTTTTAAAAGTGCTCCTCCCAGACTCAACAGGAGAATTAAAGCTGTTTTTTTTTTAACATAATCCATTAATGGCCGTTCCAATTATATTCATGCTGCTGTCACCTAGCGGAGGGTTTAGTGAGGGGAAAACAAAAGAGGGAACGACGGCCTGGATCCATTTCTCCAGAGTGCACTACTGCCATCTGGTGGTCATATTTACCATGTCTGCCCTCAGCTCATGAAAAAGCATTTTACCAAAGGGACAGAATAAGGTACCTCTGTAATTACAATCAGTGTGATGGTATGACTAAGAGCACCTGCAACCACTAATTTTGATACCCTCTCATCTTTCAAGAAAAGAAATATGATTGGCCTAGAGTCATACTGACACTTGAAGGCAGAGCTGTAACCCTCAGCATCAACTCTTGACTCTAAGACACACCTCACGCTAAAGCTAAAAGCTAGAGGAATGCTTGGAAACTGTCCCATTTCTAATCTCTTCAAATGGGTTAAAGTTTTAGGAATATTAAACAATTTACTGCTTGTTTCAGAGTTGATATGATCTCCTGAATTTCTACATTTATAGCGCCCTGTATTGAGGGTGTCTTTAAATATTATTTTTTTAGTAATTTTTTACTAAAATTAAATGTTAATAATATTGAATGATTAAATACTGTCTGTATCCATTGTCTAACACAATTCTTAAGTTCTCCCCTCATATAACTGAATAAATATAATTTTATTATATCTGAGAAATAATTTTTAAAACTGTAATTAGACAGGGCCCTTAAATCTCAACACCTCTGAATCTCTACTTCCAAACCCACAGAATCTAAGAGAATATACATTTTAGAGGAAAGACAACTTTTTTGGTTTCTTCCAAATAATCACTTAGTCCAGGCTCTTGCCTAACGTGAGGTGAGAATATTCAGCCAAAGTGAACGACTTCAGAAACCGAACCCAGATTTCTGCCAGAGCAGTTGTTCTGCTTTCATGTTATAGACACGGTGACTCATGCACCTCATCCAGTTTCCCTCGTTTTGCAGACTGTTGCAAAGGGAGTGTACAGGACTTCCTTGTGTGCATTTTGAGCTCTTTCCGCATTCCTGGCTCCATTTTATAAAGTGCCCTTTCCTGCCTCTTCCCTCCTGCCTTAAATATACGGCAGCCCACAGTGCTCTGTCTTTCCTCAATGTCTTATACTTACTATATAGACTACATAGAGAATTGTGTGTCTGCGTTTACAATATATGCATATATACATAAATAAAATCCAAATGCAAAAGACTTTTTTCTTTTTTTTGAGACAGAGTCTCGCTCTGTCGCCCAGGCTGGAGTGCAGTGGCGGGATCTCCGCTCACTGCAAGCTCCGCCTCCCGGGTTCACGCCATTCTCCTGCCTCAGGCGCCCGCCACCACGCCCAGCTAATTGTTTTGTGTTTTTAGTAGAGATGGGGTTTCATCATTTTAGCCAGGATGGTCTCGATCTCCTGACCTCGTGATCCGCCCGCCTGGGCCTCCCAAAGTGCTGGATTACAGGCGTGAGCCACCGCGCCCGGTCAAAAGGCTCTCTTTCAAAATAAACAATTGAAATAAATATTGTATCTTTTAAATAAATAAATTCTTTTTTCAGTATAAAATGTTCTTTGACTAGATTTCTTTTGCGAGAAGGAAAGAGATTCAAGGCTTACACATTTTTGCTTATCCTGTACTCCATTTTTTAAGTTACTGACAAGGAAAAGGTAGTAATTCTTCTTACGCTAATTAAACTGGTGGGTTTTTCTCAGCTATAAGACAAGCGCTAAAATCTCTCACATTAGAATTAGTTTCAAAGTTGGGAAGTATTGTTTAGATAATTACTTGAATAATAAAACAATGGTTAGGCCAGATTCGAAGCATATCAGTAAATATAAATGAAACAGCAGTTAAGTGTTTCTTTCTTAAAAATACATTATTTTAAAGTCTGAAATATTTCTAACCAATACTTAATAGAATAATTTTATTGTTCCTGCTGCAAAAGGAACAATAAAATTTTTTTTTTAAATGTAATGACCACAAACCACTTTCATGAATTGCAAACCCAGAAAAAAAGTTTTATTTTGCTTATCATTAACATATAAATGCACAAATTTTAGAGCTGTTTTTCCAATTTATTCAGGAAGATTCTTGACAAAGACGCTGTCCTCGATCTAATGCTAGTTAAACTGTCATGAGTGTCTCTCTGACTAGGCTCTGGATCTTGGGTTATGTCCATGGTTGGCTTATTTCACTTTTGGCAAAAATCTTGCTAAGTCAGTTTAGGGTAAATCTGACTACTCTCTATACGATATCTTATCACCCTGGCCTTCCTTCAATGAAAATCCTGTTAGGTCAGTGTAGCAAAATATTACCCTAC